AAGAAGGAGATGCCACCCAGTTACTGTTTACCCATATCCTGAAAAAGGGTAAAGGCTTCCCTAGCTACAACAATACTGGAAGCTAATCAGTTTGGAAACTGAGCTATACTACATGTTTTTCAAGTACCGGTTCGAGGAAATGTTATGCGTAACTATACTGTTGCAATGCATGCAAGAATGGTGAGGAGCCATTTGTGAAAAGCTGTGATGCTTCATTGCTCAAACTCATTTTTCAGCCTTTTGTTCCTCTTGCTTGATTTCACTTTAAGGAAAAACAAGAAACCATATAAAAGAAATAATTCAGCTACAGAAAAAGTAGATCTGGCTATTTTTAAGATTCAACTGAAGCCAAAAAAAGCAGCTTAAAAGCACTATGTTCTGTGCTATCAACTGTCCTTTACATGCAGTTCGTAGAATCAATTTTGTTCAAAGGTATAACATATAGTCAGTACCAGCATTTCTTTCAAGAAATACTAGGTATCAAGAAAATCTGACAGAGGTGAAAAAGCTTTGCTCATTTAATGCATTTCTACACAGTGTGATAAGCAGGTTTTCAGCACAAACATACACTGTGTATACACACAAATAGCATTACTAGTTTTTATACAGTTATTAGGCAGGGGCAATCTCATGGGAATTATGTATCTCCCATGGACATTCTCAACTCCTCTTCATGCTTTATTATGCACCTCAGTCACTACTCCTTTTTTTTTTTTTGAGACACATTTTAAGCTACAAAAATCATTCCACTACACTAACTCTATGACCACTGCATATCAATCTTTGTTTCGAGGACTCCTCATTGGGTGCTCCTTCTCTCAAAGCAGGAGATGAAATATGTTAAGTCACGTTTTTGGTGGACTTAAATACTTATTTATTTTTTCTTAATTTTCTGAAGTTTCCCCAATTAGTTCCACTGACCAAACCACAAAACTAATTTTACACATCTCTCTCTCTCTCTCTCAACCTTTTTTATACACTTTTTTTTTTTTAAAATCACAGTCACTGTAGTTACTTCTTGTTACTTTTGCAGTCGGTGTTTTTACATACAGCTTTTTGCTTCTGAAACAACTGAAAAAGCTTAAAATCCCCTTGCACTAGGTATTTATTTATGAACTGATTCAGACATCATGATGCAGCTTACTGGATTCTCAGTATACAACAGAGGTTAACAAGTCCGCAACATGATTTCACTTATCTTTTTCCAATAAAATTTCCTGAATCAAATGGGCTGTTACCAATAGGCAAACCAGGCAAGTAGAGCAAAAGGCAGATTACACTTTGGAAAGAATGTAGATGGAAGCTTTTTCAAATGTGGCAAATGGAAAGACAACAGCTTGGAAAACATTCAGATTTCCAAACCAACTTTTATATCTATATGCATATATCTATACAAACATATACAAGCATGCCAATAAGCAAACTACACTTCATAGGAATATTATTTCCAAAGACATCAAGGCATTTTTAGACTGTTCGTGAGCACAGTACTAGCATTCCCAATACAGGAGTCAATTTCATTTCAAAAAGCAAGGTCACATCAGTAACATTTAAATATATATTTGAAATTCTAAATAAACCCTTTTATAAAGAAAACATCTTCAAAGCATTTCTATTGGTAAGACGCAGTGAAACTGGTCCTTAAAACTATTAAATATACTGGATTTTTTTGTGAGAGAAAGAGAGATGCCTTCTCTGAAACTGTACATATGTGGGAGAAGGAAAAAGTAGTTTTTAGCAAATCAGTTTACTGAGAAGTGGGATTAGGGTGCAGTATCTTGTTGAAAAGTTCACTTGCTTTTTAGTAAGTTCAGCTTAGAACTTCAGTAAGTTTAGATATGAGTGAGGACACTCATCTGCTCTTCTGAAAAAGAGTCAGCTGTTATTGAAGAGTTACTGGTTATTTCAGGCATTCTCTTAAAGAAAAATATCAAAAGAATCTTAGCTTAGAAATATCTACGTCCTTGACAAATCCCCTTGAGAAGGAGAGGAGAACTGCAAGTCTGGGGAGTTTTGCATTGTCATTGCCTCTTTGCATTCACTCTTCAAGATATGTGGAAAAATGTACTGAACACTTGTGCCAGTCAGGGAAAAATTGTTAGTAGTAGCAATGAGAATCCCAAACAGGGTCTCTCTTGGGACATGACCACACTCAATTCACAAATCTACTGCTCTATGCCGATATCGATCATCTAAACTGCAGGTACGTCTCTTTTAATTGTCTGTTCTCTTGAAAATGTTTTGAGGTGTAATCGATGATTTATTTGGCAAAAATCAAGAACTGGGCAATGAACTACTTGTTAGGTACTGGAATTCTTTCTGTGGGAAAGGAAACGATGGAAAGCCATGTCATTCATTCTTGTCATCAGTCTGTCACAATCAATATATGAAATTTTCTCCCGGTATCCAGATATGAAGTTTTCCTCAATTAGCGCAACCAAGAGCAATTTACTGGATATTCTGGAAGCTATGTAATTCCAAAACCAGGAAACTGAGGTTCTACTTCCCAACATTTGTGTTTGCAATGTGCAAGGAAGGTCTGACTGCAGCATAAATAGACAAACACAGGAATTTCAATCTGGCTTATGTAGGATCCTGCAACAATACCCTAAGCGCATAAATTTCCAGCTCTGTTTAGGTTAAGTTTCAGGAAACTACATAGTCTACACGAAATCCTACTCGTACTTTTTCCCCACAGCTGTTTACAGCTATGTCAGCGAAGACATAGGTCTAAGGTGACTTTGTTGAAAATTGATTTTGACAGTTTTTCTTCCATTAAGAAAAGAGATTGTCTGGACTTGTTGGAGGTGTTTGTACAGGTGCTGGAAACACAGACTCCCCTGTCTTTTAGCAAGCATGCATCAGATCACACTGGATTGGGATGTGCTGATGATAAAATGATGCTTGGGCTGAATAAAAATGGGTGACACTCCTGGAAGTAAAATTATCACTTAAGCTAAGATAAGCACTATACTGGCAGAAAGAAAGAGTGGCTCAGTGAAACAGTTGGAACCTAAATGGAATATATACAATGTAAATGCAAGAGTGACTCCTCAACAGAGAACGCAGCTCTGCTGCCAAAACCTGCAGATGGAGAGAAAAGCTTCAGGACAGTGCTACGATGCATGAACAAATCAATACTTGAAGGATTTTCCTATATAATAAATTCAAATCTGTCATTTAGGCTTTTAAAATTATAGTTATTTTACTGAAATCAGAAAGGGTTTATGCGAAACACATTATTTCTTAGCTATTTTAAACAGCATTCTCTGTTTATTAGTAGGAAAAAAGCAAGTGATCAATACAGGGTTTTAAAGTTTGGTTTTATATTTCATTACTGTTTCATTACTAAAGTCTTTTGGCCCAAGATTCCTCTTTAATCCTGCCTACTCAAAAATACTAAGTCTTATAAAACTGATTTCTAGAGGCTCTACCTAAAAATACATTTTTATTATAACTACTCATCAACAGATTGACTGGTAATAGTTCTGTTTGCTGCAGAAGATAATGCCAACTAACTGAGTAGCCGTTACTTCTGCATGATAAATCCTCTTTTTCATCTTTGCGATAAATTCTAGTAATCTAACATATGGCGATAAGAAATCAGCTTTTAATTTCCTTTGGAAACAACAGTCCAAACAGCCAAATGGCAAGGGAACTTATTAGCAACTTTACTGTGTTCCTAAAACCTAATATTAAGTCTTTGTCAATATCCAGGTTACTCTTAGATTTCACCTAAGAGTGCAAAATCATGATGACCTACCCAAAACAGAGCTTCTAAAAGCCCTCAAACTGACATTACCCTAGTATTATCTATTGTGGTTGGACTATCCGAACAATGAAAACGGGCACAAACAGACAAGAGAATTACAAGACAGAAGATGGAAAGCAGTCTGCCTCTGCCACATGTCTATTTCCTAGTAGTTTTGTAGAAACAGGCAAAGGGTTCAAATTGCTAACACAACTATCAAAAATTGTTCTTTGTAAGAGGCACTGGATACTAACACTCCAAACTGATTTGCTACAGAAAGATGTTTGCTTCTACTCTCCAAAATAAGAGATTCTGCTGAACAAATTCATAATCAAGTAGGCACAGGCAGTGGAGCTACTTCCGGTTCTCCAGAAGATAGCTAGCAGAATGATTAGCCTCCTCAATTATTTCATCGTTTGTTGTTTTGACTTTTCTTTGACTGTGCCCAGTGAATAACATGCATAGATATATTTGTTTGAATTTTGTGCCACTATCCGTAAATTTAGATTTTAAAAATCATATCCTTATAATAAAACAAAATCTTTTATAACTGCCACACTGAACTTAGACCTAAAAAAGAGAGAAAAACATCCTAGTATTCTAAGCTTTTAAAGAGTTTACACAAAATACTCAACTAACACAGAGATGACGAAGAACAACCATTATATAGCTTAGGTTTTCTCCCACCTATGTATTTGTTTCCTCATTTAAGGATGTCCCAGCTAGAAACCTTAAATCACATAGATCAGTTCACTAACTATTCATCTCAGTTTCATGCCAGTTAATTTAATAAAAATCAAACAACAAAACCCAGGAACAGATGGAAAATGAGTCTCAAAGCTCGCTCAGTTGCCTGTGAACTGTTTCTAAACTTGAAGATGTCTACCACATCAAAATATACATTAAATAAGTAAATATCACAACAGATACCCAAATACTCTTGAAAAGTAAGCATTCTAATGTATGGTCCACTGGTACAGAGTTAAACTTGCAAACTCATTTTCCTTTCTGTAACTGGTTAACTGACCTCTGAATTATGCATCGTATTTCTCTACCAGTTCTTTAATGACAGCTGAGACACATACGCAAGATAACTGAAAAAGATTGAGTATTTAAAATTCAAATTTCTCCCCATTTAGAAAAGCTTCTATCCCTCTCCAGTCAACTTCATAACACACTGTCAGATTCACACTCGATAGGTAAGCTTTCTGCTAGCTTTATGGTAAAGAGAAATTTATTTCCTGCTTACCTCGTTACTGAAGGAATTCTCTTCAATTTTCTCAGTTTCTGCCTCTGCCAGAGGGTTCTTCAGGGTCTGCAAGAACAGTGCAGCTTTCCTTTTGCGCTCTGCTTGTAGCTGCTTTTCTTTTGATTCTTTGGAGGCCTGTGCAAGCTTCTCTCTTGCTGCAGCTGCTAATCTATCCTCTAGTTTCTGCTTTGCTAAGGAAGACAATTAAGCATTACGTGTAGAGTGAGTCACACTTGAGGAACTTAGGTTTCCTTGAAACAAACCCACACCCCACAACACAAACAACCAAACAGCCCCTCCAACCATTCTCAAACCTTTCTAATACATCCATTCAAAAACTTAAGGACATATCAGCTTGAAATTATGAAATTCCAAGCATCTTAATTCATAGATATAGCATTTGCTTGATGAAAAGCAGCACAGGTGAAATAATAATTTTTAAGCTTAAAGAAAATGACATGAAAATCCAATCCTAAAAATTCAGGATACTTGTGCTTTTCTATTTACAAAAGCTATCTAAAAAAAGTAGTACTGTAAATTCAAAAGCTTTTTCCTGTATTTGTTAAAGCGATGCAAACTCTCCATTTTGCTCTTTTCACAGATCCAATCTTTACCTTACATTTTCCAGCCCTATTTACATACATCTTAAAATGTTTACACAAAGGGCTGCTCCAGAATTTTTCAGAAACTGTTTCACCACTGTTACAACCAACAGTTATTGTTATGTGATTACAGAAAGAGAATAAGCCAATTTACTTAACTATGCACCTAATGGATATTTTGTCTAACCTTTTTTGTCTTACACTTCCACTTTTATGTTCTGTGCATGTACAAGATGACTGGGTTTTTTGTTCAACTGCAGTTTTTCCAACACACAACTTTTTCCAAACATGTTTTACGTTTCATTTTTATTATCATACAAAATATTTCATATTTGCTTTAGATATGTATCACCATATCATACTCTCTGAGAAAGGAACTGCTACTTAGGAGCAAAAAACCACTCTGAAAATGAAAAATTAAATTCCTGTGGCATACTCATAGTTGTAAGAGAAATATTAGGTTTTTAAGCTAGTAAACACTGACAGCATCTCCACTTTATTAAACAATCTCTGCTGTGAAACAGCCTTGGGGAGGAATGGGGGAAATTTGATCCCTTTAAAAGATCATTTCATTCAAATTCACACAGCATACCCTTCTGTCCTTACATACATAAACACAGTAACAGGAAAAACCCATACAAAGACTTAATGGCATTGCATTATAAGAGTAACAAAACATCAACAAGGTGATATTAGTCTGTATGGAGTGCTATGTAACTGAAAAATAGCTTGAAGCATTTCATTGTTCTCTGAAGGAAATGAGAAACGGACATGCCTTTTTCTGGGCTCTGTTAATGCAATCTGGAAACTAGAAGTTTAGAGTTTTACTTGGAGATTGTAATGGAAAAACAAAATAAAATTCTGAAAGATCGTACATTAGGGCAAAGTATGCAACTCCAGTATGTTACAGTTTGATTTTAGCTGAGCAGACAATGAAGACATCATTCTTAACAATAAGCAGGATACTGTGGGAAAAGAAAAGAATTCTGATTCTTGTTAACATGACATAGGGAAGATTCAAAATACCTAAAATGCCATACTTATTCATATGACAGGTTTGCAGTTTGCCTGAAGGACTCAATCTTTCATTTTGTTTTCAGTGTAACATGGGATACCTTGTTTAGCTTCCAGCTCCTCCTGTGTAAGTTGAGGTTTTTTCTCTTCAGCAGCAGTACAAGGTGTGGTAACAGCTGGAGTATGGTTTGAAGCACTATTAGCATTCTCTTGGCCTTCCTTGCCCTCTTCTTCCTCCTCATCACTGTCATCATCTAATTTAACACGGTTTTTCTCCAAAGGAAGAAGGTCATTTTCTTTGGCCTTGATTGCAAAACTTATTGGAGCAAATGATGCTGTGAAGGAATTGGTAAGATTTTACACATCATTAGACTACAGTAGAAAGCAGGTTGAATTTCTTGACTTTATCCATTACTCATGCAGACTACACCACACACACACAAAAAAAAAAAAAAAAGAAAAACTTGTATCATCCTTACGTTATACTAATTATTGTGGGGAAAAGACAACACAATTTTTTAATTTTTTTTTTTTTTAAAACCAAATGTTGGAAACTTCATTTGTCCTGTAAAGATCTCTCTCAAAGTCCTTTTCTAATATTTCAGTAGCAGCAGGGAAAAAGAAAGGTACTCTAAACCATCTCAGGAATTACATTTTCTGAGATGAGATAAATAATTTCCAATAATGTCCCAAATAAATTTTCGTTTCAGTACTACTTCTTTTCCCAAATGAACAATCTATTCTTTCAGGTTTAAGATGAAAACACTCTGTGCTCAGGCTTCTATCTGACACACTACAGTATGATAGGGTCCCTTATGTTTCCTTCACACTAAATGGATGGTTTGCACAACAATAGCATTTGGCAGGCTCACAGAACAGTATTTAAAGACTTATTTCCATCTATATGAAAATTAATTACTTTGGGGAGTTAACAACGTTTCATTACAGGAGATACAAACACAAAAGCTAAGTACTTTTCCCAAATGTCTTAGCTAGCTTGCTGTTGCAAGATTGGTGGTCAACTATTCCTTTTAAGCAGCCCCTACCACTCCAATACAAAAGGACAGCACAACACACTCATGCCAACATACTCAAAGGAAAAAAAAAAGCCTGTAAAAAACATGGAGTACCACAATAAAAAGGAAATTGCAGATCATTTCAAGCTAGGTTGTATTAATGGATTTTCAAAAAATATTAAGCATAGCTAATATGTAACTATATCTAAGTCTGAACTAATCCTTTTGCATTTTCCTTGGAACATTTTTTGAGAACCATTTTCTGAAAAAAATTACAGTATTAATCTCTAAAGCATTTATCCAAAACGCAACTTCTAAGAATAAAGAATGGAATTTCTCACACATCTCAAGCAAAGCAACCTACTACATATGGTCTGCTGCAATATTTATCTTTCTCAGGATGCCTTTTGCATATATATCCTGTAAGATTTCAATTAGGGAAATTTAAATACAATAATTAAATTACACACCAAGGTTTATAAAATATAAGCTTTGCACCTTGTAATTCTGGGGTAAAGAAACAGGCTCAGAAATAAAGAACTCAAGAATTCCAAGAGAAGAGATACTACAACAGTGATTTTCCAACTTGTTCATACAACAGAACAAATCCTAAAATGGGATTTTACTCCCTCAGAGGCAGAAGAAAAATCTAGTGTGGATGTTATGTCTGTCTTGCAGCCAAGTACTGTATTTAGGTTAGAAGAAAGTGGGATTTGTACCATATTAGAGGAAATGAAAATAAGTTTATAAGAATAAGATTGTCATGAAATGACTCACAGATTACACTCCATCATCTAAATTTGAGCGGATTATTAAAGCACAGGCTCCAGTTTGTCATTTATTAATAACACAACAACAAGAAACTATAATTTTCTGTTGTATATTACAGTCTCTTCATAGGGCATCTTTGAAGACGAAGAAGAGTGCTCCTTCCCTGGTGTCCTGTTTTTGGATGAGACAGTTTTAATTTTCTTTCTAGTAGCTGGTATAGTGCTGTGTTTTGGATTTAGTATGAGAACTGATAGTTTTAGTTGTTGCTAGGTAGTTCTGGTGTCTACACTAAGTCAAGTACTTTCCAGCTTCCCAGGCCCTGCCAGGTGGACAAGAAGCTGGGAGAGCACAGCCAGGACAGCTGACCCAGACTGGCCAGAGGGATATTTCCTGCCATAGAACGTCATGCTCAGGATATACCTGGGGAAGCGAGCCGGGAGGTGGAATCGCTGCTCGGAAACAGACTGGGCACCAGGTTGGGTTTTTTTTCTTTCTGCATGTGATGAGCAATTCATTTATGCATCACTTATTATTCTTGTTACTACTACTACTGTTGTTATTACTATTCTCTTCCTTTGTTATCCTACTGAATTGTCTTTATCTCAACCCACAAGTTTTTTTTTTTTCCATTCTCCTCTCCATGCCCTTGAGGGGGAGGAGTGAGGGAGCAGCTGCGTGGTGCTCAGTTACCAGCTGGGGTTAAACCACAACACCTGGGGAAGGTACTCAACCTGCCCAGAGAAGAACCTGCAGAGTACGGACAGCCAGACAACCATGGCAAAGAGCTTGGAGCTTGCAGCCCACGGCGGGGAAAGAAATTACAGTGAGGAGCAGGAAGAGAGAAAAATTCCAAGGGACGACAAGGAGCAGATAAATGTATCGGCAATTAAGAAAGCCACTGAAGCAGCAGGAAGACAGTACACATCCATGGGAACACAGGTCGAGAGTGTTTTTCCTGTTTTGTATTTTTTTCAGTGGCTTTCACTTCTACTTAAAAGATTTAAGTTTCTAGGTTTTACTGAAAAGAAGAAATTTTAAGATCTCTTTTCCTGATAGGCCAGGAAATCAGTTCCCAGGTATAAATAATTGCTTTTCCAACTCAGGACACTAATAGTGTGTTAGCTGACTTTGTTTGGCTTCCAGGAGATCTGCCCATTTTGTCCTTCTGCTACTATGACTGCAAGAGGAAAAACATTCCACTTAAGAGCCTTCTCATGTCTTTTTTCCAGCATGACTAATGTCCAACACAGGAAGACTAAGGAACTGAGTAATAAGCCTAGTGTACTTCCTCCACATGTATGGTTTCAAGTAAGACCACTGCTTTTATTCGGAAGGAATAACTTTTCTTGCACAGAGCTTGTAACTGTCAAGTTTAAAATGTCAAAAATAAGATTCTACTGGGGTCACTGATGAAAGCCTTCAACTTTGCATAAAACCGAAATAAACAATTTATTCTGTCAAACCATAAATACCTGATAGTCTGATAAGAAAGAAATATGAAAGCAATCAAGTTATTTCAGTCCTTTTTTTGATGTTTTCAGTGAAAATATTTTCCACATGATAAAATTCTTCTCCCTAGTTTCCCCCTGCCTCTCCCCTCGCTTTTTGTTTTTGTTTTCTCTTAAGTATATCATAGAATTGTTTGGGTTGGAAGGGACCTTACAGATTATCGAGTTCCAACTATTGCTAACAAATATTTTCACGCCCAACAAATCATGCTAACATACCTTTCACCAATTTACCATCACTGACAGTTTTAGGAGGAACATCCTTTTTAGTTCCTGGAACTCCCTTAGCACTTGGCTCGGATGCATCTTCAGGTGCATGTTCATCTGCAAATTGAGTCTCACTTGGTGTATCACCGGCAGAATCTGCTGGAACATCTTCAGATGAAGATACTCCCTTTTCAAAAGAAAGGTCCAAACTTACTAACTGGGTAGTTCATGAAAGAATTAATGTTGTGTCTGTGGAGCTGCAATTTTGCCAGCCATTAAAAAAATTACATTATCAGCTAATGACACAACAGCTAATTTTACATTAATAAGCACTCATGACCAAAAGTTTGCTTCTTATAAATAATGCACTGCTTCTTGTAAACCCCCAGGCTGCAAAAACTACAGACCTACAGTGAGAAGGTGTTGTTATTTTACAGCGAAAAAAAATGTTCTTCAACTGGTACGCTTTTGCCAACAACTGTTTTTAAAATTAGACCCTAAAAGCATATACTTTTTCCCCAAAGTATATTCTTTTAGGTATTATCTCCAGAGTCCGGGACAAAAATCCATTAAAGTTAATTCACAGTGGCAGAAAGAAAGCTTATGACATTTTTTCATACTGTACAACTGAGTGATATATTCTTTACAAAATCAAGTTTTACACGGATCAACACAGATTAACATGTTTGATTTGTTCCAACATTTTGCTGAAGAACACTGGGCCTATCAATGTTTTTTTGTGGCACTGAATTGATACAGATGAGATGTGCTGAGATTTTCAAAAAAGTAAAGAATAACTGGTTCTACTATGACATGATCGAATCATTCAAGACAACCTCTAAATTTACAGTATAAAAATTTTAAGATGGATATTGTAGAACATTAAAAATATTTACATAGTGAGTCAAGGGATGACATTAACTAATTTAACATTTACATGAGCCTCTCAATAAATAGTTCAGTTGCTTTCCACTGGCTGCTGCTAAGTATACTTAATGTTGAAATACCAGATACTGAAGAGATCCTTCCAGTGCTCCCTACAGCCATTCCCTGACCAATAGAACTAATTTCTGAAAATCCTCAGAGGGGAAAAACACAAGGAAATCAAGGACTTCATCCTGTATTTACTGAAGCCAGTAGTACAATTTCTTATTAACTTTAATGGCCAAAAGGAGAACAATCAATTGTATTAGTTGCCTATACATACATTACTAAAGCATAAAGATAATATTGAAATCATTATTCTAAAAAATTAAAGAGAATGGCATTATCTACAAAACCATGCAGTAGGAAAATATGCATTGCTACACACGACCTCAAGGGACTTAAACCAGTTTCTGCTTGCTTCTTAGCCGTACTCATTTGAACACTTAAAATGAATCCTTTATTATTACACTTTGGTTAGTGCACAATCTCCCCCCAAAATAAATGCTAACAAGTCCTTATTAATTATGTAAGTATTATGCATTCAACCCACTGGTTTGCAAATAAGAAATTCTAGAATAACAGTCAGCATTGCAGTACAGGACAATCTTGCATGTAATTTATCAGCTTATCTTTAAAAACTGTTTTCAAAACATTTTTCACTATTAAACCAACATATTAGACACAAGGGTTTCAAACAGCAACTGGCATTGAATTTCTTCATTTTCCACAAAGCGATTTTGAGTTTACCCACCGGCCTACCTTCTTCAGCTTAAGGCTCCCCAATCTAAGCCTTGAGATGACAAATGACATAGGGCCTAAAAAAAAAATAGCTCTTTCCCATGAAAAGTTAACATCAGATAACGTATTTCTGATACTATTTGCAATTTTTTTTTCAGTAAGAGAACAATCTAATGAGATTAGCTAACATGAGAATAGTTAAAAACAAGGATACCAAGTCTGGGTATCATCTTCTAATAACATGGCCTAGAAGCAGCAAAGCAAGTAGGAAACTCATGTGAGATTTTGAAGCTCCAATAATGTTTCAGTCAACTCTTCTTTAACAAAAGCTCCCTCAGAAAAAAGCATGTCAGAAAAGTAGTTTAGCTACAGTGCTACTGTTCTACAAAGAACCATGAGCCATACAAGAGAGGATGGTTGTTAAAAAACTACAACTAACGTTTCTGACAACAGAACACTAATCCCAATCCTACAAAGCTCTAAACCTCCACAAAGCATAAATTTCCTTGTATAGAAAGCCGAAAGATTTTCAGATTGCCATTTTATATTACAAGCACACTGGGTGGTTGCTTATATTAAAAAGCAAGAACTAAATATCACACCACCTCACATATCCTTATTTAAATGCTATGCAAAACTAAAAAGCAACCACAAAAAAAAACCCAATCACATCCTTTGCTGAACAATTTCTCCATAACTCAGTTTTCCATTTTTAAAATGTCTCATGGTAATACAACAGATAAGCAAGTCCTTTTCTCACTTACATTGCATTTTTAACATACGTATATACAAAACCACACGTACCTGACAGTTGTCACTGCTCTCTTTTTGAAGGAAGAACTGTTTTTTAAATTCATAATAAGCATTATACTGGTGCCACGGTTGCAGGAACTCAAATCTGTTAAAAGAAAACTGAGTATGTGAAAATGCACATGAACATAGTAAATAACAGCAATCCTTTGCCATCTAATTTTGTCTAGCAGATGGAATGCTATTTGATGTTTGGAAGCACTGTAACTTATGCCTAAACTTCCAGATGATACACATTCAAAGCACGTTTTCTAGAGACATTTTTGTTAGGTTGATTGTTCTGAGGATTGGGGCAATAATGCTTTGGCATTACCTTTAAGTAGGCCCCTGAATTTCAATTAAAAAAAAAAAAAAAAAAAAAAGAGAGAGAGAGAGGTAGTACTCTTCTTCTTGAGACCCACATGTCCTGGTAATAGATTTATAAGTTAAAATAACGTTTTCTCTTACCTGAGATCATTCTTGGCACGAACACTGGTTTCAAATTTTATCCCATTCCTAGCAACATACTCAGCTAGCTTATCAATAACAGGTTGGATATCTGGGGGTGGAGGTATAATGGCAACCACTGGAGCAATTGTGCTGAAAACATCAAAAGTACAACATTTTTATAAATAGAACATAAATATCTTTCAGACTCTTGCTTTAGCAAAAAAAAACAAACCACCAAACAAAAAACCCCAAACCATTACACAGAGGTTTGCTCTCCAGGTTCATAATGCAGTGAAAATAAATTGATTTTCCATCACGCAAAAACTTCATAGTAGCTGAGTAACAATAACAACGTACAATATCAAAGACCAAAGTGGAGGTAGTCAAAGCTGTATAAACACTGGTGAATGTTACTGAGGAATCATCAGTAATAGAGCCCTTACTAAATACTTCATATTGAAGCACTGCAAAGAGACCCACCAACCAACAAGCAAATCTGTATGTAGTACCTTGTAGATGTTGTGGTAGAAGTCAACGCACTGCTGCTATCGGTTGTGTCTGGGGGAGGTGGAGGTGTTGTACCAGGGGGTGGAGGTACTGTTGCTACCCCTGTAGTGCTTGATACAGTCACGCCTGCTGGCAATGCATTGTAGTAGGTGGCAACATCTATTCCTGGAGGTGGAGGTGCAAGGCAATAGGTTCCATCGGGTAGCATATAGTAACTATAATACATGGCTGCCACAGTTGCTAGAAAAAGACATATTTAAGAACAATGTTCAAATTACAAGGAAAACACCCAATTAAAAAAAAAAACAAAACAACCCTACATTATTGCATCAGTACAAACACATGGAGAATCTAGATTCACAAAACACACTAAGAAATGCTATCTAATTTCTTGTGGGGGAAAAAAAAAAGGAAAAAAGAATGCTCATATTAACACACTTAGGATGACTAAGAAATATGGAGATTAAAGGGACAGAATCAGAACATACTGAAGTCAGCGGGAAGCCAAATAGGTATGAATAAAGAAGTGAACCAGAGAAGGCCTATTACAAAACTACCTAATGTTAAATCATTCTTCCTAATCTAATTCACTTCTGGCAGTTTAACTCAGTTAAAACTATGTATGCATTAAGAAAGAAATATGCATATATTCAAAACTAACATTGAGAAATTAAACCATTAGTATCACTATATTTATATTAAATCACTATATCTTTATATACAGGCACACACCTACTTACTGAAACCTGAACAAGTAGACAGATTTTGCAATTTAACACCAATACAATGAACAACCTATTTGAGCAAGTTTTCCACACTAGAGACTTCTCCAATTCTAAATATTTATTTCTTGGGAGTGCAAAGGCTTATGGATTTATTTCTTTCTTTAAGGACAATATTTTATAATGCTTTAATTAGCTTAACACTTTTAAATGGCAGTTACTTCTTGTAGATCTAAAGATTTTCTGCAGAAAGATGTGTAAACGGAAAGTATTCAGATAAAATATTTCAAAGGATTTACAGTAAGAGTTTACATTTCTGGAGGCAAAGTTTAATCAATATATGAAATTATAATGAATTATCCTCTTATAAGTTTCATAAACATTCCTGTGTGACACTATTTACTTGCTTCAAAGAATAAGTTATCTATCAGGAGAGCAGAATAAAGATCTGTTAAGTATCAAAGGCAGGGAGAGGAGTTGCAAACTTAACTTGTATTGCTAGTAAATGTTCATCTCCCAGTTTGCATCATATACATTCAGATTCAAGCCTGACAGGAAAGTAATCAGAAAACTGACAAGCCTTATTCTACAGAGATACTTATTCTGATTTTAGTCTTTCTTGAAACAACAGTAACTTTCAAACTCTCCACAGAAATCTTATTTCAGTTTTATTAAGATTCTCTGAAGGTATAGTTTTAAATAAAAATTATTTCCATGCATATTCCTCTCCATATATTACACTCTGACAACACCTGTAATCCTTTGGGGGGTTCTGAACATATAACAACATTGAAATCCACACAGATCATTATGGTGATACTTATTTGCAACAACTTTACTAAAAAAACCAAGAACTCCATCACCACCAACAACCTGAAGTAACATTACTCATTACCTACAAATTTATAACATCATGAAACACTACTGTACTGAAGGCTGCAATATAAACTTTCTTTTCTCAGTAGTGTGAAATGATAAGTCCCATAAAGGAAAGGGTAAGTTTCATTTCCATGTTTAAGGAATCAAGGACTTTCAGAATTCTGAAGTCTGGAAAAAATTAATAGGCACATAAACCCAAGGAAGTTTGACTTCATCTTTTTGAGCATCAGAATTTACAAAATTTGCAGGAGCTTTATACAAGGCCTGCATTAAGCGGCTTCAAAGATAATGGAAACCAGACGCATATAGAGAAGTTAAGATAATGTTGCTAAAAAATTAACAGAAAATTTGATTCTTAAAAGAGGTTGTAGACAAGACAGTATTTACATTTTATCTGAAATAGTTCAAGACCAATCTAAGATTTAATAAGAATTTGGAGATAGGAAAAAGTCTTGGTATTTCAATATCAGGCACAGAAAAAGCATTTGGACACACAACTTTCCACACTGCTCACTTACAATTTAAATATATCATTGCTTTTGTTGTTTTTTTGAGAAAACAAAAGAAAAAAATAGAGTATCTACTTTATTCAAGGATGCCCTCTGTAGCTATGGAACTTAAAAGTTAGTAGTCTCTCTCGGATGTTGTAATGAGAAATATAATTTAAAAGATCAATTTTTAAGTTTGAATCTTGCATATTCCTGAACTTTATTACATATAACAGTGCACCAGTGCAGAGAATAAAAGGTAAAATGATGAAAAATTATAGCAATTGACTGTATTTATTTACCATGAAACTACTTCCAACTTCAGAACAGAATACTATACTAACACCTAGTTTTATCACTTCAGTGGGATCCTTCAATTTACATGATTTTACCTTTGCAGATTTTTCTCAGTGTTAGACACTCCAGCAAAACTGTTCAAAGTAGATTTACCATCTGCATTTTACTTAATATAGTAAACTTTTTTTAATAGGAATCTCGTTAACTACTTTTTAGGACAGTTTTATGTTCAACAGTGAAGGCACTCACTCATTAGGCTTCATTAACAGAAATTGATTGAAGTTATCAAAAAACATTAAGGGTGTTATGCTAACAGACAGGAGACTTGGCCTCCTGCTTGCCCACCCCCCTCCACCCCATTTCTGTTTTTCCTAAGCAGGGAAAAATTCAACAGATACTCAGTGGAAGAATGCAGCTTCAAAGATTCAGGAGATTGAAAAAGAACATCAGTTATGAATGATCAAGCATGAAGCTAACGTGTTTTCTTCCCACCAGCACCCACATACAATTCATCAAGACACACCACCAGCTGCCTAATCACAATGCACTTACAATCAGAAGAATATTCTGCTTGTGATGTCTGTACAGCTGCCCCATCTGTTGACTGCGGTGTAGACGAGTTATTATCTGATTGTGCTTTGCGCACCAGTGCTGCAAGTGGATGATCAGGGTCTACCACCTTCAAAGGCTGAAAAAATTTTGAGAACAGGAAAAAAAAAATTTAAAATTTGAAGTACATATTTAAAGTAAGATAGCATCAACCTAAAGTGGAAAGCAAATTTATCTAAGTTAATAGACATCAATAATATTGTCCAAACACTGAAGTTACTGTTTTTGTAGCTCTCACATCAGAATCAACTTCTTTTTTGAAAATTAGTGGAAAACAAAACAAAAGATACTTTAAAGTAACATGAACAGAAATCCATGACATAAAAAGTGGGTATTACTCTTCCTCATTTGCTGCCAAAGCTGGGATAAGACACAGAATCTGACTTGTCTAAATATCAGACAGCACCACTGCCATTCCTCTGAAAGCCTCAAATGTGTACAACCATCTGTCATTCCCATTATTCCATCACCAAACTCAGAATATAAAAATAACACATCCAGTAAAATTTAAATTTAATGAGTAGTACGTTCTACTGAAATATTATTCACAGAAACTATTACTTCATGTCAACATTTTATCTACTAAAATCTAAAAAGCAAACATTCTCTCTCAACTTAATATACAGAAGGCATTAAATATCTTCATCTTTTCAGCTTCAACACAGGTTCTGTGGGATAAATCCTTGAGTGATGCCCTCAATACGAAAGGGCATCAAAAATAGAAATATAATTCCTTTCAAATGGAAAAACAACAATTTAGGTACTAGAGAAAAGGTAACTTCAAAGTTTACCAAAATAGACCTAAATTACTAAGACACGGTCTGGAAAAACTAAAAATCTTTATTAACAAAAGATCTTAACATGTGCATATTAGAATTTTTGTGCCCATGAATCAGATTTTTACAAGATAGAAAGTAATTTTAAGAGTGTCAAGTACCTTCATGAGCTCTTCAAGCCTACTGCATTTTTTAGATGCAAAGAGACTCGGATGCAGATAATTTCCATCATCGTCGTCGTCATCATCGTCTTCTTCCTCAGATTTGGCTCTCGAGTCTAAATAAAAGTAATGTCTGAATTTTATCTGTGTTTGCTATGGGTTTATATTGGGAGAAAGATGGTATAGGACAAGCACGTGTCCTCAAGAAACTACCGTTTTCATAAATCTACTTATTCACAAAAACATAGATACAAGAAGATATTGCTAGCCATCAATAAAACTAAAACCTAAATGCCAAAACAATCTCTTCTTTTAAGAATCTCCTCCAATTTAAGCAAAATTTTGAATCATCACATCAATCTCAATTGCAGGATAACAGTATTGACGCTGCAACGCACCAAAAAGTTGTGGCTGTTTTACTAAAAAAGACCAGTGGATGTTTGAATGATTCACATCCTGAAGGCATCCATTTGACAAGCAACAACTTACGTTTTTTCTCGTCTGCTTTATTTTCAGAAGGAGCAGCATATCGTCCCTCTTTCATAGCCTTCTGAATGAATTTGTAGTAGGGATTGAGGTAGTGATCAAATCGCAGGAAGTCAAACTGGGAGTTGCGTGCTTGCTTGGCTTTTAGCATAATCTCAAACTGTGCTCCCTGCTTGCAGACAAAGTTTGCAGTTCGTTCTATAATCGCATGCATTTTTGCTGTTGGTGGCTGTGGGAATAAAATAACATATATTGGTATTTTCATAAGCAGCTTGTAAAGTGTGTTAGAGCTCCAGAGGGAATTAGAAAGAGCAGTAGTTCCCTGCCCCTCTTCATAGCTTTCTCTAGCAATTCAGTTTCATAATCACTTTCAACTAGTGAAAACATATCAGCACTGAAAAAAAAACCAGTCCAAATTTTCCCTAGCTGCTCATTCATTTCCTTTTGCAAGATCCTCTCCTTCTGTCAGCACAAGTATTTTTGCCATTGCCCACCAAACTGAAGAGGGAAATAAATCCTGGTTGAGTTTGATGTAGCAAAAAAATTCTTTTAAGCCAGGCACATTCCACAGCGATACAGACACTTCTGCTGGCACAGGACAGGAGACAGATGTATTTCCTGACACAACAGCGCCAACTTAAAGTGGCCCTACCTTCCAATATCACCAGGTGCTTTGAAGACTCAACATGTATGGTCTTCTTCCCAACAGTTGTTCTTTATTCTGTTATCAATGAAAGTGCAAATATTGTTCCCTAACTACAAAAGCTTGTTACTATGTATTTGCTTGGAAGGAACATGTTGTATCTTAAGACCATCGTAAGAATTGCAATTCCTATCTGTTGTCACATTCCCATAAAGAGTCATTGAACACTTTAACAATGAAAGAAAAAACAAAATTAATAAAGTTAAGCAGCATCCATGCATTTCCACTCCTGAAATCCCATCTAAGGAGTACTGCCATACCAAACCCAAGAAGTGAAAAGAACAAGAATATAGTTAAAGAATGAATCAATTTCACCATTCACTGTCTTTAATTTCACACTCAGATAGCTCTAGTTTGTCTTGTGCTCAATAAACTGTAGAAATACATACTCTGTGTGCCTATAAAGACTGAAACGTCACATTAATGATTCGTTTTAGCTTTGCGTTTTTATTGGTCTAGATCTTTTTCAGAAGATTGGAAGCACATGAGACAGTGGCACTCTAGGGAAAAAAGTCTGAGTGTGATCAAACAGTACCTTTTTAGAAACTATTTTCAGCTGATTGGATCCTTTACTAGAACGACATGTTCAATATGGAAAATAATTAGTTGTTTCAAGTTTTACTGTCCCTCTAAAACAATACCAAAGATTAATTAAAGACAATGAAGTTCTCAACAAACCGATAACATTTTGTGCACTGCCAATTTCACTATGTGATCATAGATCAAGTTTCTCTATTTCTGCGTTTCTTAAGCAGAAATACAAAATACACTTAAGGCCAAGAGATTCATAAACAAAGTTGCAAATCAGCAAGGAAGCTCAAAAAAAATTATATCTGAAATTACTATCTGGTCTTAAATTTGAAACTGGTACCACTATAAGCTCTGGAAAACAGGCACTATGAATATTAATATGCTTTTAATTGACTTCTAAGATTACGAACACCACCGATCTACAAAACTTTAGAAACATTACAAAGTGAAAAAACACTAAATGGCAAACAGAGATGCTGATATCATAGAAACATTCTAGTTTGCTATTACATTTAATAAAAAGACTAAACATTTAAACTGAGAACTGTTAAAACTTGTGAAGTAAGAGTATTTGCCAGAGCAGACAAAAAACCCTTCTGAAAAACACGTAAGTGCTATCGTCTAAGTCAGATATTCTGTTCCAATCTTTAATTAGTATTGTAATTAAAGGGTTTTCATGAATGAGTCTCCCTTACTGAAAGTTAAGCAACTACCCTCCAATCTTCAGTAAGCCTGGAAAATAATTTTAAGTCTTCTGTTGCCTCTCAATATTCTCATGTGGAGAAAACAAAGCACTTTTCAATCTCTGCTCATAAGTTTCACTGATAATTTGGCCCACTTCCATAGCATCCACACACTGCTTAAAATGCAATGGTCAAGAAAAGTCATCTTTGCCCATAACCCTGACATCAACAGTTTTAAGCATTGGAAGATGTCCTGCATCCTCGACACAACTCTTCTGTTTTAATTTCCAGAATGACATTACTGCTGCAGTTGGAGTTGCCATGTGCTGAACACTGAACAGCTTACTACAGCCTCTGGATGTTTTCTGCAGTAGCAATGCCTAACTACTTAGTCTTCATTTAACATTTGCACTTTGGATGCTCTGTATTACAGGAACTATTTCATATCTGTTTTTACTGAACTGCATCTTGCGGATTGTGAACGAGTCTCCACGTTAGCAAGCGGATTCTCAAATTTTATCTTATTTCCAAGCACTACAATTTCCTCCCCAAAATGATTCAAAGGTTACAAGTGTCCTTCCCCTGCTGTGACCATCAACAAGTACCACGTCTTTTAACTTGAATGTTAATTAGCAGTAAACTCAGGAAAGACTATAACACCACTCTGTCATTTCCACAAACCAGCAGTGTATCTGTACACCTTTTCCAATCACTTGTGAATCAACATAATGGCAGTGGAATTTATGATGTGTTTCTCTCTCTTTTTTTTTTTTTTTCTCCTCTCTTTTAATGGGAACAGGATAGAGCGAGAAGTATTTTTTAAACATGCCTGTAAAACCCCACCAATAATTTGCCAGGCTTCTATCCTTCACAGCAATTGAATGAAAATCTACAGAATAAATACATTCAATGGTGAAACTGAATGACTTCACTGGAACAAAACCAACAAATAATCAAGGTTTACAAAAAAAAAAATTCTCATAATTCCCAACCCATTGTCATATATACATTGTTTTCAGAGCTGCTGTCTACACATCTTGGGTTGGGGTTTTTCTTAATCAAAACCAAGTATGCCCACATTTGTTTTCTGTTCATTTGAATATACTAGAGTTGAATAGCTGAGAAATTCCTTCAGTAAGCCCCACACTGCATTCTGCAACTTAAATGTAAAATACGTCTTAGTTTCAGAACAAAATTCAAGCAAAACAGCCATCTAAAACAGCAAACATTCTTTCACCAGCAGCTACTTTTTGGAAACAGTATCCAAATGCTAAATACGCAGCTTCTCACTGAGAACTCAACATTCTTATTCTAAGACTAAAGTATAACTCATAATTTAAAGGCAACAACATATAAAAATCTTCTCTGAACTCAGAAGTATATTTGTAAGCACTCTACTGACAAAATGTATTATAACATTGTAAAGAAAAGTAGAGGAAGTAAATTCAGAACAAGTTGTACATTAGATTTGTTAAATAGCTCTTATTTAATATAAAAAAACAGAACAGAATAAAAATTTTCAATTAAAAGCTAATGAAGTAGGAAAAACACTCTTAAACAAATACTGTGTTCACTATTAGTTATTCTAACAGCGTGCTTTAAATGTTTACTGGCCAAGGTTATCAGGTTGAGAAGGCAGCCCAAATACAAGTTAACACTTTCATGACCACAGTATGGGAGAAAGAATATTATTTGACTTCCCAGTATCTTTTATGAAACTTGAAATAAATTGAAAATCCTCAGGGTTACAACTGTACTCAAGCACGTGACTGTTCAGCTCCCTTCAGTAAAGATACATACGTTGCAATTAAGTTTACAGTTTACTATGTAGCAAACCCCAGTAACATCACAGGAAGGAAAGATACTTGCTAATACTTTCAAGTTATTTCAGAATTTGCTAGAAATAAACTATTGTTTTTCTCCTTGAATAGGCTATTAAATATAATGTTTATATATAATATAAACAGCCTTAATATTTGATCACTTCCTACCACACCATTAAAAAGAATCCAGAAAAAAGTCTTGAGCAGAAACAATATTTCGGTTTAATTGGTCCTTTACATTTGGAATGTCAACCTTGACATCTCAGTAAGTAACCATTCCAAGAACAACTGCCTTTTTTTGGCATTATCTAAAATAACTTCACAAGTAATACTAAATGCACTTAGCATAAGCACTGCAATAATTTCAGTGTGAAAAGAAGATTCAAGAGAGTTGATAGAACTCAAGAATTAGAAAAAGAACATCTGAAATTAAGCTACTATTTTAGAGTAATTTAAAATGTACTACACTAAAGGTAATGGAAAAAAATCAGTAGAGCACCATAAACTCCTTGAAAATTGACAGAAATGTAGGTTGCATTAAATGTACACACATACCAGTTCCACGTCAGAAGGTACATTCAGTCCCGGAGGGGCAACAAAAGGTTCTTCATTTTCTTCTACATTTTCTGTCTGAGCTGTTTCTACAAGAAATGACAGAATAAAATACTATAGGACAAAATATGTCAAAGTACCCAAACATTAACAAAAAAATATTAAAATAAAGTTTATCTAAAAGAATGTGCAATCAAAAAATTTATCAAATGAAACTATAACCAGCATTTGCACTGAATACATTTAAATACCATTCCTCTCCTGGGTGTTATGCGTACTTTATTTAAGATTCCATAAATTATGTCTTAATAGAGATATTAGGAAGACTAAAACCCTATAAACCTTAGCCCTGACTACAGTGCTGAAGACAAGTGTCAAATCACTAGAAAACATCATTTTCATGAATATTACTTTTTCACAAGAAAACCCACACAAAATTAAGGGGAGCCATTTTCAATGCAGTGGGTGAATCCTTCCCTAACAATGATTAGCCTATTACAGATATCAAATATCTCTAAAGCTGTTAAGACCCATACATCTGGTCTGTCTGAATTCAGTTCCCTGTTAACCCACCATTTCAGCCTATGCAAACAACCCCAGGTACTTTCATCAGCACCCCAATGAAAGTTGTATGGGAATGCAATGAGGAGGCTAAAATCCACTTTCATCACCTACAGAGATAAACCAGTAGTTGCCTTAATAATTGATGAAAATAAACGTTGCCACTCATCTGTGAGTTCAGTCTAAAGTTGGTATGGTTCCTTTTATATTAACACATGTAACAGATTTATCACATGAACTAGTTATCTAAAATAGTTATTCTTTTACACAGGCCAATTTGTATTACATTATGTTATCTGGTATACCAGAAACATTCCTCTGAAAATATTTTGCTTTACAAATATTTATAACAACTGAAGTGGAACGTTTACTTTTAAAAGTAACTTTTAGTATTATCTATTCTACTAACTTTAAGAGAAAATGTATGCCAGTTTTAGATAGCACCAACTGCCTGAAAACCTGACTACGGGAACTATGGAGACAGACAGCAGAACAGCCTAATCATGCGTGAGATGTAACAGCAATTACTACATACAAGCTTTTACCCATGCAAGAAAGAGTTAACTTTTTTGTTGCTGTCTGGCAGGTTGGTTTTTTGTTTTGTTTTTTTTTTTTTTAAGTGAACTAAAATAGTTCAACTCCACAACTGCACACAGAAATTTCAGCATCAAGGAGAGCAGGAAGAAGCAGCAGACAAAGCAGAATAGGACTGTTTCTTTTGGCAGCAGCTCCAGCTAACACTTGAAGTGTTCAGAGTTACAAGCCTGCAATTCACATTACTGTTATCTGCATCTTCCAATACTGGATTTTACTCTACTATGATTTATAAAAAATGAATGTTAAGAATTTATTATCCTGTATTATTGGAAATTGTTATCATATAGCAATCTATTAAAAGTCTGTACAGTTCAACTACAGCAAAACATAATACCAATGTCTCTGTCTCACTTTTGCCCCAAGTACTACCAAGTGTTACTAGAAAATGCCCCTTTGTTATCCATCATTACTAAAAAGTTTCTAGAAGATAAAGAAGTTTGGTAAGAAAGCTCACAACTGACACAATGCTCCAATGGCCTGCCACGAGGATCTCTACTTCTTGCCAGCAGCACCAAGAATTCTCACATTACACCACAAGATTTTGTAATAGCTTCACCACAAGATTTTGTAATAGCTTAGCATGACACTTCCATGCTGCATCAAATATTAATTAACTAAATATTAACTTGTTGGAAGACTGGGTAGCTATATTTCTCTTTGACAATGACTAAGTTGTCGCATTTTAGCATTATTCCTAAAAATATGACTTCATTAAGGCTGAAAGACATTATTCCAGATATCTCATCATTCCAGGAAAGAAAAAAAAAATGTGGAGCAATCCAGACACAACTTGAACTCACAACAGCTGTCTTTGCAAATGAAACTGGAATTTTTATTTATTCCTTGTACACTTGATTAAAGGTAGATTCTGCAACATGGCACATTTTCATGCAGTTCTGCAAAGGCCTCCTGCAATACAGACACCCTACATATGCCCTTTTTAGTGACCAATAGAGAGAGGACATTCACCTTTTCAATCTCTATGCAGCAGAGGAAGATGGGGGAGCCAAACTACAAACATGTTCTCTACCACCTCCAATTTTTCAATAGGCTTATCCCTATATATACACAGATTCACACAACATGAAAAACACCCCTATGACAAAGAAATACTTCAAAACTCTGTGTAAAGAGAACTTAGAAATTATTTGGTTGTGGAATCTACCAGACAAATGGGAATAAAACAAACGAAATAAAGCCCAGAAAAAACAAAACAATTCAGCATCAGTACTGAAGAGTACAGGAGAAATCATTCGTAGATTGCAAGTGGCATGGACACTGCACTGACACAACCCCTCACACAAAGCAGCAAAAACCACTAAATAAGCTTTAGCACCTAAAATGATTCTGCATTGTAGCATGCACTTTGGTAAAAAAAGTACATCTCATACCGTGGTAACTGACCAATAAGGTAGTTAAACAAGCCAATTGTTAATTAAACAATCCTAACTTTACTAAGACATAGTTCAATAACACTTGAAAGCCTCCTTAAGACTTAATGTTAAAAATGCAAAGTTATGGTAATTAAAGATGGGAACATGAGAACCTGAATACTGCATTTTTTAAGATTACAGAGAGGGGCACACTATGTTGAAGACAGACTTGTTTATAGTCTGTTATTAAGATGACAAAATCTAAACTTAAAAAAATATATTCTCGTTAATTACTATTCTGTCAATGTTTGTAACGCTTTCCCTTCTTGACCAAGTGTTAACAAAGTCATGTGATGAATTACTAGTTTTTTTCTAAATAAGAATATGCAAGACAGCAGAATTAAATTTTCTATCCTGACTACTGTAGTATTGACAGTGCCACAGCAGGAAAACATTTAAGCACATCAAGAGTGAAATTTGCAAAAACTCAGTGACACAGTTCCATGAAGACTTTGCTGAAATGCTTTGCCATTTCTCACTTGCATTTTAACGAAACACACATTTTCAACCTTCAACTGCAAGTGAGACACACAGAGGTGCTATGTTCTTCCTCTCAATTAATCCTTGCTGTCCTTGCCCCTTACCTCTTTGTTTTGCAGGCTGATGCTCCTCCTCCTCAGTGGGTTCTGAAGGGTCATAATAATCACTGCCATAACGGAATCCCACTGCATTGTAAGTACCATCCTCTGCCAAAGCTTCACTCAGTCTTTTATATTCCTCCTCTTGAACAAAAATGCAATTACCAATCATTAGAACATACTTAAAAGCTAATTTCTTTTAAAAAAAAAAAGTAATATTTCTTACTTTAGTTTTCAAATGAGAAGTTTTCACCTAAGCATTTTAGCTTTCATTAAAAACTGAACAGAAAAACATAGTGTGTATATATGCTGACCATTTAGTTCCTCCTGAAGAGATAAAGGCTGGGGGTTAAAAGATTCTACTGTAATTATGCATACAAAACCACAGAATTTCATTTATGCAACACTAAAAATGGAGCAGAACGTGCTTATTTTGAGTTTTTTTGAGTCTGAAATCCCAGTGTGCCCTCAGAACCTGGGCAATTTCTGTGTGGATCTATATTTAAACTATCCCGAGGTCCTCTCACATATGCAAAGATTCCCGTTTTTCGAATCCACTGGGTACTGTCAAGATAATGTCAGAAAAAGAGAGTATAAAATTAGAAGTAAATTTAATTTCCTAATGATTTATTTAAACATGTGCTAAACTCAGGAAGTTTCCTTGAGCAATACCTTGCCTCGCCTCCTCCTCAAGCAAGTCCGTATGCAAGGCTAAATACCTCTCTTCATCACAGAGGGCTTCTATTCTAGCTTCCTCTTCTGACAATTGATAATCTCTGTTCCACGTGGAATATTCAGCATCATATTCAGAGAGGTCATGTAGGTGACCACGCCCATCGTACCTGCAAGATGAAACAGCTGGTCAATGCAAAAAACTTAGGGCTTGGGTTTATGCGACTACTTAAATACTTACCCATTAAAAATGAAAAAAAAAATACTTATACGTTAAAGCATATTTCCTTTTAGAAGTTACGTTTAATTTTGATAATCATTTGTCACCAACTATTGAAAATTTGTTTAATAATCTAAATTCCTCTCAAAGAAACTAATAAATTATTACAATTAAAGGCAAAGGTATCCTTTAATAGTTTAAGTGGGATCCATTTCCTTAACAGCTCTTACCGTACGTGCTTCAACCAACCAATCAATGTCACTTGCAAAATACGTTTTTCTGGAAAGTCAAATAGCTTACATTCACACAAACCCGAATACATAAATACCTATCCGTAAGAACCAAACGGTCGAAATTTCCTCGCTTCTTTCTGCTAGTCCCGAACTCTCAGGAGATATCTTCACCATAGAAACTTGCGTCCATTGGAGGTAAAATCATGGCTAGGCTCGGCCCCTAGCCATTTGGCTGAGGAAATAAGTTCTGGGTTATGTGATAGAGAGACACACATACATAGGAACAGTAACATATACATGCAATTTAAGGAGGTTCACCGTAAAAACGGCAAAGATCAATGATGTACAGTTCCTTTCTACTAAGCAGAAATAATGTATTTGCAGGAAAAGCACTGCATTGGGATAATGTTTATGCTTCAGTAAGAGAAACTGATTGAAAAATAAAATGACAGTAAACTCGACTCCGCTGAGGTGTCTTCCCACACACAACTCTTGACTTGTGCCAACTTGCTAGACCAAAAACAAAGAAAGTAAATATTCTTATAGCAAAAAGTTAATGAAACACATAGGTCTGGTTAATCAAGCTCTGTCCACAGGCAAACTTCAACCCATGTCTTCTCATAGCAATGTGCTTTTCTCAAAATGGTGAAAATGAAGACTTCCTGCTGCTGGAGATAAAAAGAATCTAAGCTTCCAAAGGAGTTTATAAGATTAGTAATTGCAAGCTACCTTAACTTACAAATGTATGTTATTTAGATTTTTTGGTATTATATGTACATACATGCACATACTTAGTTTTTGCTCCCAACAATTTCTGTAACGCCTGTAAACTGGGTTACTGTTGCACGGGACCACAAAAATGGCCTCTACCTACTAATGAAACTTGTCACAAAAGTGATCTGCATTAGAAGTGTGCATCATAACACTTCTATTCTCATTTAAGTAAGATATCTAACATAGCTACAAACATTTATGGTTGGTTTTTTTTCATGTCTTTATGTTTATTCCAATTTAACAAATTAATTTCAATCATAAAAATCATTAATGGTGTAAACCCCAACATAGTGCAAGGGTATTTCTTTGTTCTCCAGTCTTGTGGAAAGAAATTCAAAGACCTTCCCTTACCGATATTTTTCCAAGCCAAATACAGTTGTTACATGAAATTGAGAAAAATCATGTATAGCACCAAAGCAATGATGAAATTGAGGGAACAAATATCTATAGTATGTCATGTGATCCTTTTCAAACCAAAATCCTTCCATCTTTCCCACTGAGGTTTTCAGGGTCAGCCACAACTCTTAAATTGTACTTTCAGTGCTCCACTCAAATACACCCCACCTGACCTCCCATTTTTCCCTCTCCCCAGAAAATATTCAGAAAACTCATTCTAAATGAATTTATTTCTAAATCCCACCCTGCACTGCTGAAACAACTTAGAGACCAGAAGAAACATCCAAGCAGATTCTGTTACCTTCTCTGGCCATGAGCCTGTAGCTACTGCAAAACAACCAAAAAAAAGCCACCCTGACATAAAATTTGAAAATCAAGCACACAAAATCAAAGCCATCCTGCCTAATACGGTGCATCATGGCACAAAGAAAAAGTAATTAGGCCAAGTATTGCTTTTGGCCACAACAGCCTGTGGCTGGATTACGTAGGAGAAATAAGAAAACCCCATTTCCCCTAAGGTGAATAAATACCTTTCCACTCCCCACACTGCAGTCTTCTCACTTAGAGAACATATAAAGTGCCTGAGAAGTACTCCCATGCAATAAGGCCCCCTTGGTTTCCAAGTGAGAAAAGATGATGTTTGTGGTTTGCATTGAAAAGAAAGAGACCATTCCCACTCTCCGCCCTGTAAACTCTACCCTAACAAGTGGATCAGAAAGACCCAACGCACGCTGTCAGAAGGAGGGGAACCTCCCAACACTGCCAGAGCGGGGAACCCCAAGTTCTCGCTGCCAGGGGGGGCGGCCCTGCAGCGTTACAAAAGCAGCACTCGAAGCACTCTTCCAGAAGGAGCTGCTCTCCAACTCTGCCAGTGAGGATCCCCACACGTCTACCAGAGTGAGCCCTTTGTTCATCCCCCGCCCTCACTTGCCCACAGCATAAGGGGAGGTACAGACAGAGGCTATAACAGGAGAGCTCGCAGCAGAGTCTGGGGGTTGTGTTACACCGACCTATCGATCATGATCTTGGGGTCTCCCATCCAAGGAATAAGGTGTCGCCCCTGCTCCTGGTACTGAGCCTTCTCATCATCTCGAAACAGCTTGCAGGCATAGCCGAACACCAGCAGCTCCACACGGCTACTCCCACCTCCACCTCCTCCTCCACCTCCTCCGGGGGGCCCGGGGACCGCTCCCCCGCCTGACAACAACATTAGGGGCGGCGGGCCTGCTTCTTCTGCAGTTCGTCGAGAACCTCCGACCCCTCCGTACATCATCAGGGGATGCAGCGAGGAGGAGGAAACTCGCAGTAACAACGACTGTCCGAGAAGCGAGTCCCTTAGAAAGCCGGGCCCGCACTAAACTCCCCAGCTCCAGAGCACCACAGTCGCCATCACCCGAAACAAAATGGCGATTCTTCCGCTTCCGCT